CATCTGCATAAGCTTGCAAATCAACTTTTCTTCTGTCGAGGGCATCAAGCAGACTATCTACCAGGAGCGACCACAGAAGGGGGGATAGTACCCCACCTTGAGGGCAGCCCCTGGTGACCCTGAACCTGATAGCTTTGCCTTGAAGAATCGTAGTTGCAGTTCTGTTTACTAGCATGGCATAGATCCAGCCAGTTATGGTCGATTCTATACCCTTTCTAGCCAGAGACAATCCTATAGATTTAGGTAGTGCATTGTCAGATGCTTCTTCAATATCAAGAAATACAGCAACCGCAATATCCTTGTTATCAAGGGATTGGGAGATTTTCTCAACGAGGTTGTTTAATGCTGAATCTGTCGATTTGCCGGTTTGCATACTGGTGGTTATTCAGTGGGGATGCATATAATGCTACCCTCCTGATATGTCCATCCAGTATCCTCTCAAGTCCTTTCAGCAGGAAGGATGTAAGGCTGATTGGTTGTACCGATTTGGGGTGTAGGTCTCTCCGGCCCACTTTTGGTATATATACCACCCTTGCTGCCAACCAACTGGGTGGCATATAGTTCCACGCCAGACTAGCTCTATACAATTTTGTGAGAATAGGTGAAATTATTTCCAGTCCGTTTTGAAGAAGAGCTGGAAATATACCATCCTCTCCGGGAGATTTGAAGGGCTGAAAAGACTTTTGATAGCCCATTCAACTGCCGGTGCTGTGATAACCTTTTTAGCGACGTCCCAGTCGTTCTTTTTTGGGCGTTCAGCGCCCTCGAAAATGGGCGATCTGTTGTTATCAAGAGTCAGATTTCCAGGAAAGTGGTTTTCTATCAAAAACTCTAACGTTTCTTTACTAGAGGTCGTAAATGTTCCATCGGATCGTTTTTAAGCGACCCAATTTCAGCAGTCGGCTCTCTAGAGAGAATCTTGTGAATTCTTGCGAGGTAAATCAGAGATACTATCACAGAACTTCCTCCAAGACTCCCGTTTTGCCTTTTTAATTTCCTTGTTGTATGTCGTTAGAGTGGTTTTATAAAACTCCCAGTTACCTGACTCTACAGCTCGATTGAATAGTCGTCGCCTTGTTGGAGACTGACCTATCAAAATTGGTGGGTGAGATGGCGGAAGAACTGGACGTCAGTTCCCATGCGGTTTTTGTTGGTTTACAGAAATTTTCACGTTTCGGAGTCTATTCTTCTTTGCCTTTGCGCAACCAAAACTATCTTTTTTTGGATTGGATCGTCATGTGTGATAAAAAATGAGTCATCTACGACAACAGGAGACGTTCAGGACAGTGGTTGGACACCGAAAAGCCACCCATGCACTTCACCTGCACGGAAACTCACCAAACAAAGACCATAATCACTGTGTGGTGGTCAGCGGCTGGTGTGATTCACTTCAACTTTCTGCAACCGGTCCAAACCATCCGGGACTGATCAACAGAAGAGTTCAGATCCTGCTCCACGACAACGCTAGTCCGCACGTTTCACAAATCATCGTCCGAAATTTGAACGAATTGAGCGCGAGATTTTGTATCACCCACCATACTCTCCAGACCCCTCGCCAACCGACTACAATCTTTTCAATCACTTCGATAACTTTTCTCACCGGTAGAACCTTCGCCAATCAGGGCCAGAATTGAATAAGTTTAAATTGAGATATGTCACTTTAACGTAGACTCATAAAAACCGAAAAATTTTCATTTGACAATTGAAAATAATGTCAAAGCTTGGCTTTGCAATAAACTGTCGTTTATTTTTGATGTCAAGGCTTGAATACTCTGTCGAATGGTCGTGGCCCCTAAATTTTCAAAACTGTTCTTGTTAAGATCACCCAAATTATAAATTGCATTTATGACCCAGTCGAGTATGACTGCTCTGTCACAATGAGCCATAGAAATTTATTTCATTGAAAAGAAATTTTTGGGAGTTCCGTGGTGGTCGTGGTAGTGGACGGACGTGCTGATAACGTCCGTCCACAAATGCCATGTGCTATCGTGGGGCTCCGTTTTGTGTTGTGTTGTATTAAAATTGAAATGTGGAGTATCTGAAAAAGTGATGAATAAGTGGCCCCCTTTATTCACGCCGGTATCCAGGCCGGGGTGGTTCGGATAACCACGTAAAGGGGACTATATATGTGAAAAATTATCAAAAGGTCTCCCACGTAGGAGGCGACTTCAAAAAATCTAATTGTTTTTATGTTAAAAAAAACCTAGTGTTTTTTTATTATGAAAAGTTAGAAAAAATGGGTGGCAGCATTGCTTTGTGCAAGACCGCTGCGCCCCCCGACGAAGCTCCTGTTAACCAACAGGAGGAGTATTGGTCATATGCGCCTGAAGATGGAAGCAACGACCAACTAAAATAGAGAGAGAGAGAGAAACGAAAATTTTTTCTAGACATAAGGTTACCATTTTATGTGAAGTTAAACGATAGACTTTTTTGGCATTTTTTACGGTATCTCTACTTAGCACTTTTTTGTCTGTCTTACGGAGAATATTTGTGTTGTTGTGATTACTTAGAAGTTATTTCACTGAGTCGACAACAACAAATTTGAGAGTTATACAAAATCGTTTGTTGTGCGAGCAAATGCAAAATCATTTCGGGTTTATTGTTGTCCTATTGCTTGCATCAGAACGAGAAAAGAAGGGTTTTTCGTGTACGACACATACAAGGAGACTTTCAAGAAGGATCAACCCTCCAGAAGGGGTTTTACACTTCATTGTATTTCAGACACAATCCTGAAAGATTCTGCTAGAAATCCATAACTTATAAAATAATTAATTAATTTCTACTTTTATTAGATATCAATGAAATTTATTTTCTAAGCGCAAATTTTTCAAATTATGTCCGTTAGACCCCAAGTATCATACCTTTTCGGAATCAGCTCGTTACGGATTATCTAAAACTGACACCATATACAGGGTGTTGCATTTAAAAAAATTACCGATGCCGTCATCACATTAATATGCACCACTCTGTATAATGAAATTTTGTTGTAAAATGTAGAATATCAAATTGAAAATCGACGTGTTTCAGGTTTATGTAAAACGACATTTGGTTTTGGAAATATCGAATTTACTCCATACTTTGCGGACACACTGTATAGTATGTAGCCTTTTTGAACTTTCCCTTTAAAACAGTGCTCTTTTTTATGAATAACTAGAAACATTTCGGTGGGTGTTCTTTTCTTTTTTTCTGTGTGGGACACATTGTTTTTGCATCGAAACCAATGAACTTCTGAAGTGGTTGTTGGCATTTAGTGGTTTTTAAGTTTGTTTGTTGCAACAGTAATTTCGGAATTGAAGATTGAATGGAAATAGTCCAAACGTTTTTTCTTTATGTGAATAGTCACTGGAAAAATATATCCTTATGAGTTTAAGTTCCTTATGAGCCTTGGCCCTGGTGATAGAAATGGAATGAAACTTCCAATTGATGTTTCCTTCAACACCTTCTCGTTGGGATCATTGATTCATTAGTAAGCTTCTCCAATTTTATGGAAGACTCTATTGAGATACTGCTAAAAAGTGACCAGTTCTGTGTTTCCACTGTTTCAATTTGTTGCCGATCTCAACCAAAGGGTTCCCAATGAAGCGAAGTCAAGTTTTAATCAGGCAGAATCAGGCAACGAGGTTTCTAGCAAAAATAAAACTGAAGTTTGACACACCGTTGTCTGTGTTGATTGAGTTGAATTTTGGAACCCTTTTGTGTATTGGTTTTGCTGATGTAACCAGAAACCTAGAAATATAGTTCTTTATGAATAAAACGATAGTTCAACATAAATAATGGAGGCTGAACTAAGGAAGACGATGAGCCTTAACAATACCAACAATAAAATGTGAACAAAAGCTGGATACTAAATAAAAAAAACAAGAAGTTAACATGAACATAGAATAAAAAAAGAAAGTAGTTGAAAAATTAGATGATGCAGAATGAAAATGTACGAAATTTTGAAAATTATAAAGCAGAAACTAATAGTAAAACACATATAGAGAAAAATATATAGACCCCTTCTATGAATGGATGTAGGTTTACAAACAGGAGGGATGAAAAAAGTGGCAAATCTGGAATTATATAAAAATGGGTGAATGGAACACAAAACCCTATTCGGATGAGGGTCAATGAAAAAGAGAAAGAACTTACGAAGTAGAAATCCCAAATCATTCCAGACTTACAGGTTGTTTCTTAACTACGGTACGAAACTCCACAGGGTGATTCGTTAGGTAGTTTTAAGAAAAAAAGTTCCTACGAACATATCTCCGGAGAAGCATGGAAAATTTACCACAATAGAGTTATTCCATGTACTTAAACATTTCGAACGCTACATGCAAGATTATGTGAAACTGGGAGTTTTAATAAAAATGCGGGTGGCGGAAGAACAGAAACTGTAACAACGGCTAAATTAAAAGAAGCTGAACTTGATGCGATAGAAGAAAGTCTTTCAAATAATACCAGGAAGATTGCACTGCAGCTGAAAGTCAGTTCAAAAACCGTATGGACAGTTCTAAAAAGAAACCTCTTATACCCATATCACATATAGCGGGTCCAAGTTCTACTGCCTCGGGATTTTCACCCAAGATTATTGTTTTGCAGGTGGTTGATTCATATGATGGCACACAATAAAAATTTTTTTAGGAAATATTTTATTCACGGGCGAAGCACATTTTTCACGAGATACTATCGTGAACTTTCACAATGTACATTTTTAGGTCGGTTTCGGTTTCTTAAACCATATTCAATATGAATTTCCACAAAATAAGTAGGACAACAATCAAACAAGAAAAATCCCAGAAACATTTTATTTTCATTTTTTTAAAGAGTATCGGTTGTCCTTTCACTTCAGTAGAGTAGTTTATAAAAAAAAATCAAATTGAATTCTAAAGAGACAGGTATTTTGTGAATTGATCTACCTCGATATTTCATTTCCACAGATCTTCTCGTTATGAAATCAAATACTGTTTCGTTTTCAACACTGCGGGTGTAATAAGTCTAGCAGAAATTATTTGTTTCAGTTGAACGTAGGAGGAGATTCAATATAAATGATCGCATAAAAGAACTAGGCACCCTTCTACCGAAAAATAACGACCCTTACTACGAAATTGTGAGAGACGTCCGTCCAAACAAGGGAACAATACTCAAGTCCTCAGTCGAATATATCAAGTGTTTGAAAAACGAAGTTCAGAGACTCAAACAACAGGAGGCAAGACAAAAACAGATGGAAAGTATGAACAGAAGACTTCAATTGCGAGTACAGGTTAGTTGTCAAATTGATTAGCATTGTCATTTGGACGTAGATTTTCTAGCCTAAGAACTCTTTCACACTGGGAGCTTCACGCTCCTATACGGGAGCGATTATCACTCCTATCCTGGCTCTGTGAGTCAGTCGTAGAATGGATCGCACGCGAGATGTTGCCATATACCTCCTCTACCGTCGACACAAACATCGACGACAGAAACGTCAACGATCTAGAATGGGATGGATTAAGTTTCGAAATCTAGGTTGAGCACCTTGCAGACTTCCACCTAACTTTTCACGACATAATTTCGGTCCTTATAAATGTCTAGACTTTTCTCCCAAAGAGCGGGTCGATTGGGGACAGCACTAATTAACAGACCAACATTGTAGTCTGCCATGATAAATAGTGTGAAGCGTCATCTAGGGAGAGTCGTTTTCACTCCTCGTGTGGAAGCCCCCACTCATCTTTTTGCATTTTGATGAGGAGACGCGGCTCCCCGACTCGAGATGCAGGAGACGTGAGAGTTCTTGTCTCCTCAGACGTGGCGGCTCCCGCTCTTTGTCTGAAAGCTCCATTGGACTCGTTGCATTTTGGCGCTAAGAGTCTTCCTCTCTCTCGCGAGCGAGAGACGTGAAGCTCTCCGTGTGAAAAAGTGCTAGAAGTTTGGCAAAAAGAGCAGGAGAAGCACCACTAGGGTGCTTCTCCTGCTTCTTCAAGAAATATCATGAAAAACATATTTTTGTATGTATTACCTATACGTTAAAATTTTTGAGTCTACCCTCTTACGTACAGGATGGTCTAGCAATATGAGCGAAGTCCAAATTTGTTCGTATGTTAGGAAAAAAGTCGAACTATCAGGCTGAAAGTGGATCACTCTATACGAAATGAGGAAAAAGCTTATTTTGACAAATGCAATGTTGATGTTTTCTTGGGGTGTAATTCAATGGTTTTGTCAGAAGACATTCCTAAATCGAAAACGAGCGGCTGCAGCGATAGAACGCATGTATCTGCTCATTGCACGGAACTACAAACTAAGTGTTGAACAGCAATTTGCTTATTTGCAAACAAGTAATAAGACCAGTTATGTTGTACACCTGTCCTGTGTTCTGCAGCTACAAAAGATCTCCTTTACAGAGACTCGAAAGGATGCAGAACAAGGTGCTCCGTATTTGCATGAATAGTGAGACATACATTTCACTCATTGATCTGTTAGATTGGATGAAGTGGAGACATTCACTGAACGTATCAGGAGGCTGTCTCAGAAATTCTTCAAGTTCTTTCTGCCAAAAAGTCCGCCTACGAGAGACGTCATGGCTATTAGGAAATCAGCCCCGTGTTTACGGAACTGATCTATGACCCAGGATATATTCTATGAACAGCGAGAACACGGTCACGCTTAGTCCATGGAAAAATTGGATAAGATAATTCACAAAGTAGCGTGATAGCAGAAATACTCTTAACATATTTTTTTCACGAACTTTTTCCAGGAGGTTCCGGACAACTCCCTCGTGTGAGCTTCAGAAGGAAGCTAGACGGAGGCTAAAGTTTGTCGCTCACTTGTCCGGCACAGCACGGCGCTGTTCGTCGCCTGATGGCAACGGGTAGTAGCATCGCCCACTTGTCCAGCTACAACCAGCATAGTGAAGGTGCTGTTTGTTCGATTTCGAGAGAATTTCAGTTGACATCGAGTGCTGACAGAAACATGTCTATCACTAGCAGTTCTGCCGAAGAAGTCGTTATTATAGTGGTCACATTATTGAATCAAGAAGAAATTAGTCACATAAAAGAATGTTGAGGGTCCATCCCATTAATCAAAAGAGGAGAAATTTGGAAGAGTTTCATCATCTTTTCAACGATCTGAAAGAAGACGAGGAGAAATGTTTTCAGTATTTCCGAATGATTCCAGGCAAATTTTCAGAACTTCTGGATATTTTAGAGCCTGCCTCAACAAGCAACTCAATTTTTCCTCACCCATTTTCATAAGTGCCGTCTGACACTCTGCTGTCAACTGATGGAAGAGCAAAACAGAAAGACAGAAACTCCCCAGGCACTTTTGGACAAGTTGATGCTAGCAAGCGTTGGCCGGCGATGCGCTCACTTGGCTAGTCCGTCACAGCACGTGCCGTTATTTGCCGGTAAGTATCGGAGAGCTGGAATCCTTCCTGGCGGCAGACGCTTTTGGCGGTGCCGAGCCGGGCTAATGGGCAGTTATCCATTCACTTTCATTGTTCCGTATTTTGACGGGACGGGCCGTGCTGTGCCGGACAAGAGGGCGAAAATCTGTTGAGCGGAGAGCTACCCGTTAACACCAGCGGCGGCGTCTCCTACTGTCCAATCGTGGGACCGTGGGGCGGCGTGTCTTCTGCTGTCTTCTTAGGCTCAATAAAACAGTCATCCTCCTGCCATTCCCCCCCTATACCTATATAACTTCCCTAACCCTACTCCCCTATGTAGGAGAATGTCTGTTTTTGTACATATGTAAATAGATTTGTTTGTTAGTGTTGTAATCAAATAGACAAATTAAGAATTTTAAGTTAAAATTCAGCAATTTTGGAACGAGCTTCGCTAGCACTCGTTCCATGCCCAAAATTTTCGAAATAATTGCATGGCATTATTTGAATTGAGTTGTGGCTTTATGAATTACTTCCACTGTTCAGAATGAAACTACATGTCGAAAAGTAGTTTTTTCAGAATGAAGTGGACTAATGGAACACCCATGTACAACCCAAACGTTACATGAGTCTGAGAATACAGTTATACAGCAGAATTTCATAATCAGATCATATCAACCCTTTTGTTCAAACAAAATACGAGTCATCAGTATTAAATCAACTGGTGAGCAATGGTTTGTATATACATCAACATCATTTTTTTCAGGAACTCGAAAGGCAAGCGAAATCACATGGTCTTCCAATATCTGATTTTAACTGGCAAAATGTATCAGTTACATCACCACCCCCTTATAATTCGTACAATAACCAACAAAATCCACCAACCACAGCAGCAACTTTAATTCCTCCGGTAATTTTACCCGATCCTAGCAGAAAGGTGAGTTGAAAACTTTTTGAAAAATATGCAAGTTAGAATGATAATACCAGTACCATTAGGAATCGAAATTTTTGGGTAAAAAAAACAATTTGGTTTTCTACCTCTCCATCTTCAAACAAAAAACGTGGGAAATTTCCAATGAATGAAAGAAAGCAATTGATGCTTGATGTACAAATATTTACAAAGATTTGAAGAGCACGCACAGAAGTTACAAAGATTCACAGAAAATACAAAGTAGGAGAAAAACCCCATTCGAAACAACTACTTTCAAACATGTGGATATTGAGTTACACAAAAATCATTTGATTCTATTCCATTTGTACTTCAAACATTCGTTACAAAATTCAAACTGATCTGTATCTATAGAGTAGGGAGGGTGAGTGTAAGCCCAGAGCACTTAGGCCACATGTGACCCATTGTATATCCTCCCGAGGAGTTGTCCTCCTAGGTCATCGACCATCCTGTCCTTTCCAAAAAGGTGGACAGGTCCTGGGAGACATCTTTATATCGGCAGGTGTAGGTCAAGACTCGCCGAACACATAATAGGACATGCCTGACAGTCTCATTCAAACTGATATAGTTCACAGAAACGCTACACAACGTAATGTATATACAGGGTGTCCCTGGACTTCCTCTTTTCCTCTCGGGAATGTATAGATGGGGTCAAAATATCACCAGTACTTCATATAACTTTTTTTCCTAAAAGTCTTCGTAACCAAGTTACGGGCCCTNATGATTTTGAATATTCACTTGAAAAGTTATCAAAGAAAAACATTTTTCATTTTGTAACTTCGAGGGCCCGTAACTTGGTTACGAAGACTTTTAGGAAAAAAAGTTATATGAAGTACTGGTGATATTTTGACCCCATCTATACATTCCCGAGAGGAAAAGAGGAAGTCCAGGGACACCCTGTATAAAAGAGTAATGAATGGTATACGATTCAACTTTTATGGAAATCTATTATTGTTTTGGTGTATGTCTCGAAGTTTCAAGTCGAAAACATATTTTTTAACTCTTCATCAGCCAGTACCTCATTGAGTTTTTGAAAACGAAAACGCATTTCTCGCACAAGACTATGACATATGTCACCGGAAATTACAAATTGTTCTTGTTACTTAAACTTAATTACTTTCCTCCTTTCTTCTGAAATTTCCCATATTTTTTGTATAAACATGGAGGAGTAGAAAACCAAAAAGCTCATTCATATAATGAATTTCGAACACAAATATAACAGTATTCCATAAAACAAATAACAAGAAAAGTGTTTTTCATATCAGTAAAATCTTAGGTTGAATAATGTAACAAAAAATGTTCATTCATTCATCAATTTCTATTTTGTCCCCTTCAAAGTAGTTCCTTTCAGTTATAATACAATTGTGCCAGAGTTTTTTCCAGTTCTGGATATGCACTTCTTTGTATGTCCTTGACCTCTCTCAGCGATTCGGTTTTTCATCTCCTCAATGGTCACAAAACGTCGTCATTTCATAGGCCTCTTCATTCTTGGGAACAGAAAAAAGTCGCACCAGGCCACATCTGGTGAATATGGTGGCTGAGGCATGATAACAGTGTTGTTTTTGGCCATAAAATCACTAACAAGCAATGACGAAGTGAGCAGGTGCGTTATCGTGATGAAAAAAATCATGAATTGTTTTTCCAAAATGCCGGACGTTTTCTTCGTATTGCTTTTCGCAAGCGGTGCATAACTTCAAGATAATACTCCTTATTTACCATACGACCATGTGGCAGAAACTCCCGATGCACTACGTTTGTCACGGTAATCAAAGAAAACTGAGCGAAATCTTGAAATTGAGCGAAATTGCCGTGCTTCTTTTGGTCTTGGCTCTACTGGGCTCTTCCATTAGGACAATTGGACTTTGGTTTCGATATGACAACCATATACCCGTGATTCGTCACCAGTTATGACCCTTTTAAACAAATCTGGATCGCCGTTGGCTTCATTCAACAATTCCTGAGCGATGCTCATGTGATTGTTTTTTTGGTAAAAATTCAACAATTTTGGAGCGAACTTCGCTGCCCAAAATTTTCGAAAAAATGCATGGCATCATCCAATCGATTTGCCGACATTGTCAGCAACTTCTCTAACAGTGATTCGACGATTTTCCATAACAATTTTCTTCACATTCTCAACATTTTCATCGGTTGTTGATGTGCTGGGACGTCTAAGGCGAGCGTTGTCATTCACATCTTTTCGACCTTCTGTAAAAAGCTTGTACCACTTGTAAACATTTTTCTGACTCAGAGTACAATCATCGTATGTCACTGTCAATATCTCGAGTATTTCTGAGCACTCAATTCCATTTTTTACACAAAATTTGAAGCAAATTCTTCGATCCATTTTTTTCGATTGCAAAAAATTACCGAACAAGCAAAATACTCCTCAACTTTTATGCCTCTCACCAACTAAATAAACATGCTAAACAGCTGAAACTGTCAACATATGTTTAAGACGAGTGTACCAAAGTAAAAAAAAAAATAAAAATCGTTAATCGAACGTACCCACCCCGCTGAACTCGAACATGCACCTTATTTTTTCAACAGACCTCGCAAATAGTAAATAATGGTACTGTAGGTAGATCTTTGCATTAAAAAAATATTTTATTTATCAGATTACAAAGCCCCTATGAAGCTTGTATATAACTTTACTAAAAGGGTTTCTTGATGTTAAAATTGAAGTTCTTTTGCAGATTTTAAGGAAAATTTGACAGTTAGCGAAATTGTAACCTGATTACTTTCCTAAATTCGGTTAAAGAAAACTTAATTTCTTGGAAAAGAACGTTAATTTTGACGATGACGAATGACAGTGATGAGGGTTCTAGTTGTTATTGATAATAAACAATGTCAAAAGTCCAATTTCGTGTGAGTCTGTTAATGAAAAATCATTTAATTGTCTCATTAATGAATTGAAAATCAAAGTAACCCTAACCTTATGCTAATTGCTGTGAAAAATATCTAATAACTCGAAAGATGTGAATCGTACTATCACTGATAATTACACTAAGTTTAAGACAACCTTCATAATTTGAGAGAACTTATTCTTGTATAACAAATAATTGTAATAATACGATGGGTTTTGTTTCAATTTCAGCTGACAGATGTTATGCCTGACGTAATATCTGACGCCTTGTCAGACGCTTCTCTCAGTTTGTCAGCGATGGAAGAAGCGATGGACGATGACGATCTCGTTTACGGAGTCAACGGTGACCCGATGCTATCGTCCCCAAATGCCTTACAAACCGACGTTTTGCTGACGTCATCCACGCAGCATAGTTCGGGGGATCCCCTCTTGTACGAACAGCGTCTACCCACTCCTACACCTTCGAGTCATATCGAGCAAGATGTCGATACTCTGGATATGGATATGATAGCATAGTATTAGACTGTTTCTTGTGGTAATATTGAAAATGTTGCGCTGGTCGCTTGAAAAATGTAGTATTTTTATCGATACAAAGTTATTCAGTGTTACTGACGGAGAATCCCAAAAAAAGGTGCAAAATCCCGAATTTGGCGCACATTTTTAGGAACTTTCATGTGTGTAGTAAATATACGAATATCTCTGAATGCCAGTTGAAGTACAAAATGTGTTTGGAGAGTAACAGTGAAAAATGATAAATGAAATTTTCTCAATTTCCAATATGATCGCCTACCACGTAGTAACGGATACATCCATCAATTTACAATGAAATATTTTCATCAATTTTTTCTTATGTTCTGCTAGTTGTTGAATCAACAATATTTTTTCTTGTAAGTTCTCAGAAACAGCTCCATTTTTATAAAATTTTTGTTGTTTCATATTATTCGAAATCATTAACTTTTTGAAGTGGGGACAAAATTTCATATTATTTAAACATTATTTATGATATTTATATAAAAATTTCAGTTTTCGTTTTTAATTCTTCATATACTAATTAGTATTACAACAATTTGAAATCCCTGAAAGAATCAATACAATTAAAAAGATCAGCTGAAAAATAACAAGTATATTCAGCAAAAAAACTGAAGTTACAATGAAATGAAATACAAGCAACAATTGAATAATTAACAAGAAATTACAATTAAAAAAATTAAAAAATTTCAAACTAAGTTGCTTCACGACTTTTCGATTGTTAGTATCCACAATCGTGTTCGGGTGATGACTGGACTTATTCCTCCTCGTCTAACTATTTATAGATCATTCGAGTGCTTTTACCTATCCCCTCTTCCCTATCTCCGCTTCATCGGTTTTAGCGGGAGCTGACCGTTTGGCAGGAGTTGGTCCTGTTCCGCTTGATTATAGGTTTCCATATGGTACGTATCTCTACGCTAGCTTGGCTAAATGCGTTGTTGGACAACATATAAGCAGCTTTTCTGAATTTTCTCCTAAACCAGTGTTTCTCCTTGTGGATGATTTCAGCTTGAGACCACTTGATGTTTGTTATGTTGATGAGTCCAAACATGCTTTGCTATTCCTGATTTGCTGGTTTCTCCTCGCTGTGTCTCTTTCTTGTGGTCGGCAATGTGAACACTCAATGGCCTCTTAGTATCTCCGATGTAGGACTCTCCACACTCGCAGGATATCCGGTAAATGCAATTCTTGAAATCACAGTCCGCGTTTGGTGGCCTGGTTTTCGTGAGGCTGCTACGGATAATGTTCCCAAATTTGAAGCAGGTTCTGATGTTATACTTGGACCCAATCCTTCTTATCCTTTCCGACAATCCTCTGATGTAGATACAAGTACTGGTTGTGGCGGCTTCTCTTCCTTGTGGAGCTCTTGCTGTCTTCTAGCTAAAGCCTGTTCTACCATCACTCTGGGGTATCCATTCCGTTGAAGGTCATTTTTGATGATGCCTAGTTCCTTCTCGAGACCTTCCTTTGTATTACAGAGCCCAAAAGCACGGTCTACTAGAGTCTTGATGATTTCTCTTTTAGTCGATTGATGGTGGTTGGATTTCTCGGAAGAATAAGTCCAGTCATCACCCGAAGACATTCGTGGATACTAATTGAAACGTCGAATTATGGAACTAAAGTAGATATAGCCAATTCATTATATGATTCATTTGAAGAATGCATGCTTCTGAATATAACCAGAGAGAAATATTGAGAAACAGCAAAAATAAAAATAGGTATGCTAGTTACCACTGCAGAAAACTGTCCGAAAATAATATTGATTGGGGTCAAGCAGAATGTGATGCAGAATATTTAGTTGTATAATCATCTCTAGATAGTAACTTCCTTAATGGAGTGTTGTAGCAGAGGATACTGATGTATTAGTAGTACTTATGACTTAAGCAGTTGATGATGAAGAAATGTGTTTCAAAACCCGTCAAAAATAATATCTACCTTATAACAAGTTTAGTCAACAAAAACAATATTAATGAAATATCCAAATATTACAACCAATTATGTGTTCTTCATTCATGCGTTCACTGAATGTTACTACATCCGCTTTTTATAACGAAGGGAAAAATATATTGGGATTCTCAATAATGATCAACCGAAACTGTATCCGCTTTTATAACAAAGGGAAACAATTTACGAACTTCAATGATGATCAAGAGCTGAAACTTTTATGGTTGTAGAACAAAGTGGAAAAATACTTTTTATTGCCGGTTGTACTCTCACAATTTATGGTGGCAAAACTGCCAACACTTGAGTCACCTGCGATACAAAAGTTCCATAGCACCAACTTCAAAGAACAAAAGAAGCATGCAGTGTTTTCAGATATATAACAAATTGACGAGTTCATTCAAAATGATGAAACCAAATGTTAGTTATTCCTGCTGGTTTCACCATACAGGATTGATACGTCAATTTTGTATATCTCTGAGAACACTGTACAACTATGTTTGTTACTAGAGTCTTTATATAAATAACATACATATTGCTTAAAAAAATTAATAATTTTGTCTTCGCTTCAAAAGGTTTCTAATTCAAAAATCTGAAATGCTAATGGCTGACATACCTGAAGTTTACACTCAGATACAACAAATATTCAAAATGTTGAATTGAAAAAAGTTTCCGAGACGAACCTCTATTTCCTCTATCCTATAATATCAAATAAAAGGTGGAAAGGGGTAACAGAGCTGATGTGGTGAATATTCTCGGCAACATTAAAATTTTATTTTTCCAAAAAAAGAATATCATTCTGAATAAATTAAATATGTGGAGACCAGATATTAAACAAAACGAATTCCAAGACTAGTTTGATGAAAATGAGAGTGAAAGAGCTGCCAAATACATACGACACAAAAAAAACAAAATGTGTAGATTATGACTGACATTGGTTCAATAACTTATCACTGGTGTATTATATTAGTTGAGAAAGTTCAAGGTTCAGTCCATATCTTGTGTATTGATCGAAAACAATAAATAGAATTTGAAAATATAAATATTTAAATATGTAAAAAATTAATAACCTCCAACACAGAACTCATGAAGTGCAAAATTGCAAAACAAAATTTCAAAGTTTCCTATCTTGACTGTGAATACGCAAAAAAATACGAGTACCCTGTAGTTTTCTCCATAATTTACAGAACCATGTTTATCAAACCTCCTCCTTACGTATAAAGTTGAACAAATGCTTTCTTTTTCACTCTCTTGAAGTAAACCTATTTATTTTCATCGCTTGATAGAGAGATGAATCCATAGTAACAGCCTCAAATCAACTTTATCGATTAGGCGTGAGATATTTTTGAGATAAGTGAATGATTTTTCAGGAGACCAGTACGAAACTAACGTGAACATCCACTTTTAAGTAGTAAATTAGCAATTATGTAGTTCTTACATGATTTCAGATAGATAAAATCTGTTTGTTGAACAGGAATCACACTACTGAACCGATATTCGGGTTATCTTCAAGGGCGTATCCAGCTTGAGGCAAGGGGGCATTGTCGTTAACAAAAATAGGTTGCTTTGAATGCCGTACTTTACCATTTGATTCATTATAATGGAATAAGGGTAATTGAGTTTTTTCAAAAACCTCGGCTTTGTTGTTTCTCCAGACTTTCTTGAGAATTATATGAGATGACCCCCTCCCCTCCCTAGTTAAGATTTTGGGTACGCCATTTTCATCTACTCTTCTCAGAGATCCTCCTGAAGAACAATGGAATCAGTTGTCTTATGACTTCGAATGTTGTTTGCTAGGGACAACATTCAACGTCATCATTAATAATGAAAAATTCGAAGAAACAGAGTGTCCATTTTATGCAACTAACGTCATATTCTCTCCAAAGCAAAACCTTTATAAATTATTATAGGGGTTTTGCTGTGATCTTCTTTGGTTACAATCTCCAACCGTTTCAACTGCAACTGCGTCAGTCATCTTTAGCACCCAAAACATCTCTTTTGCGAATAATGTATTGCACTGATATTGAAGAATAACTGTCAAGACAAAACATGTCAATAGAGTGAGTATTAGATTTGAAAAACTGCTTCTAGATTCAAAAGGACGAGCAACAAAGATTGAAACAACCTTCAAAATGTAAGTTGATACGCTTATATGTAATGCAAATTTTGGTTCCATTTTTCTCATCAGAATCTTCTGAAAGGTGGATCTACTATTAGTAATTATTGAAGGAATTATTCATTTTCTGAAACGTTGAGGTAGTATTTCTCAAGTTAATTTTTGAATAGACATAAGAGACGAGGGGCAACTTACTGATTTTTCTGTAGTGCCAGGGCTATAAAAATTGTGAAGAACTCATTTCAAGATATATAGCAAAGTGCACAACATTTTTTCGAGAAGAAATTATGTGTTGCTTACCAACCTCTCATTTCAAATCTGAATAGAGAATATGTCAGTGCCAATCTTTTCAAAGATAGTCTTTTCAGTGATACAAATTGAATGGACACTTCCAGTTAAAGACAGGAAAGAAAACGATGAAAGGGGGTTGGCCTAGTAGGTCAATATTTCTTTTGGGAAGATAACAATCAAGGGAAAACATTTACAGGATTAGTAAATATTTGCTAGCATTGAACTAACGAAAGTATGTTTCACTGATTCTGTGGGAAACTTTTGACATCTTCATAACTTAATATTTTTATATGACTGTCACACTCAGAGATACAGCGCTCTTCGTTTTATATTTTTGAGAACAGGGTGAAATATGTGTTTTAGGAAAATTTTATCTGTGAATAACCTGTAAAAGTACTTTTTTGTAGAAGATTTTTAGCTATATAGGTTTATATTTCAGTTTTAAGATTTATGAACGAAAATACTTTCTATAGGACGAACTAATAGCCCTTCTCTTTTATGGCTTTCTAGGGGTCTGAAAGGTGACCATGGTTCTCTGAATTTTATTAGTGTATTACCATTGAAAATGACGTATTAGGTGACGATAAAATTGTATAGGCACCATTATAGATTTTGAAAAGCCAAATATTGTACATACTACACATAACGAAAAAATGTGATGTCGTGATTGGGTATGAATATTATGACCGCTGTTATTCTGTTATAGAATATTTTAATATTGTTCGAGATTATATTGTTTCAAATAAATATTTCATTTCGATTCATTGTCATTTTTCATTTCAAATCCCCTCTACTATTTGAGAAAGAAAATGTGGAAACAAACACATATCGACGAGTAAGTTTCATAATAAAACACCAGATAACATAAAAAACAACAGAGGTAAGTGAAATTATTTCCTTTGTGAAAATTATGTCGATCCATAAAATCCATGAGAGTTAAAATAAAATCATCTCACTCACACAGGAATTTTTCCTCTCAACATTGAAATGTCTCTATATTCTGAATTAGTCAAAAAGATCATACCTATCTCGTTCTCAGAGTTTCATATCAGCTAAATGATAGATTTTTTTGTGAAACTTATATGAGCTGAAGAGCCATCTGTTGGATACAAGACGAGACTACCATTATTATAGGTATCTAGTTTTAGAACCAAGTAAATCACGAAATGGTCGGCTATTTGGGCCATTTGATGATGAATAATATCGAATCTGCCTGAATAAATTTCCAATTACCATATAATACGTGACCATCGTATTTCTAGGTATAGTAAAATAAACATAGTGAACTTCTTTTGTAGACCTATAACCTTGTCACTTCCACCCTCTCGGCGGAGTGAAGTTCAACCCTCAAATCCTAAATGGGATGAACGAATTACCTTTGTTAATATATCGACCAAACATCGACCAAGCGTCTTCAATTCAATGAGGTTGGAGCCCAGCTCCCTTACCCTTTCAGGTGGTTTTTGTCGAAGAAGGACAAATGGGTTCATCACTGAGAGGATGTTGGCGGCATGAAGTCCTCAAACATCAGTACCGCCCTTCACCGAACAAACGAACAAACAGTGGAAAGTCATCTTCGTGTCGTTCAGGCTTGGAGTCCAGCTCCCTTACCGTTTCGGCTGATTATTGGTCTCGAGAAGGACCAATGGGTACATGACTGATGGTATGACGGCATGAAGTCCTCAGGCATCAGTACCGCCCTTCACGGGATACCCCTACCTGGCTGGGGTGGGATGGATGAGAAAGCTATTCATCCGTTAACGGGGGACATGAGGGCCTCATTCGACACAGTGTCGAGGCCTTCTATATCTGGAGGGGTCGTCTACAGCATAATCTGTGGCTTCCCTAACTAACGACCGAACAAACAACATTAATTACAACTTGTCATAAGCTCTGCCTGCAGTTGTAATAGTAAGATGTACCACTGCGCCACCTGCAGACAAAGCTCGGAAGCAACTCCACAACCACATACTCCGTGGTGGGAATCAGAATAATAAATAAATATATTCCTGAGAGGTACATACAACATGCCCGAGTTCTGGTGAAAATAGCAAATATTTGCCTCTCATGTGAGACCTACGATGTGGGAAGATACTTGCGACGAATCTTCCAAACGGAAGACCTTGCATCGATACCTTAATGGTTTCACTTTCTGCGCGGCGTTCGCTGAGTTAGCTGTCGTTTTTCCGGCGGGTGTGTGCCACATGTACCTAGAGAATCATAGGTCTCACATGAGAGGCAAATTATTTGGTATTTTCACCAGAACATCCACGAACACGCACGAACGGGATCTTGCAGGAATTCAATAGTTGACCTCTGATAGTTGTAGTCAATGGTCAGTCAAGACGAATGGTAGTAGACCCAAAGGGTAATAAAATTCATAGAGCCACTAACTGTGGATATACACCAGTTAAGCTAGGCGCAAATTGAGCGCATGTGAGCCGGCCTGCACGATCCGCACGGGTCACACGCGTAGCGTGGATGATCCGCAAATTGAACGCAGTTTCGAAATGACAATCGAACCGCTATGTCCGATTGAGTTCGGAATCAGAATCCGACAATGATGCTGAAGGCAAACCGTTTGCTTTATTGTTTGCTCGTTAATAATAAAGTAAAATCACCCAACAAGAATATTCTCTTGGAAATTAGTAATTACTTCCGAATGAATCGAAACCAATTTGCAACGAGGCATTAACTCAAAGGGATGTCGACAGCCATCTTGGTTTCAAACAGGTTGGAGCCAGGCTCCCTTACCCTTTCGACTGGTGTTTTTCAGAGAGACAAATGGGTCATGACTGATGGTGGGATGGCGACATGAATATCCTCAGACATCAGTGCCGCCATTCACGGTGTACTCCTACCTGGCTGGAGTGATATGGATGAAAAAATTGTTCATCTGTTAACGGGGGACATGAGGGCCTCATTCGACAGAGTGTCGGGGCCTTCTATATCAGGAGGGGTCGTCTACAGCATAATCTATAGCTTCCCTAACTAACGGATTTTCATGAGTTTCTGCGCAATCAAAAACTCACCGATACCTCGACTGAATGGACTGCTGAATGGAAGGCAGCTGCAAATCTCTGCGGATGGCTTCATTCCGCACAGAGCAGTTACAATCATCCGTATCAACTTATTTTGTAATCTCTCCGGGATGGAGATGTTACGGCCTGGCCACGGGGATCGGCGGTGCGAACGTCGAAGCGGGAGGCGAGGCGACCATTCGCGCGACACCGTTTGCAGGCCACGGGCAGTCACGTTCGCCGCCGCGACCAATAGTCCGACAGCGAAATGTCTTTATCGAATTTATCTCGATATTGCTTGGAAAGTAATAGTTTTTTGGTTCAAGACCTAATATTTGAAAGAGATTGTGGAGTACATGATTTGAATAAGAATCGGGGTGCAGATGGAGAATTCCACAAGAAGTACGAGAAATACAGATTATATCCAAAACAATTTTTTGAGTATACCAGGATGAGTATTGAAACGTTCGATTATATTCTTATGAATATTCATACAGAATTGGATAAAAAACTTAATGCAAATAGAATTTTAAGTGCCGCTGAAAAATTGTTTTTGACATTAAGGTTTGTACTTACCTATATATACATATTCATCTATATTGATCTACATTACGTATTCATCTATATACCTATGTATAGACGTAATATTTAATTAGCTGATCATATTTTAGAGAATTACCTATAGTATCCATCAGTATGAACAACTTTTCCCAAGAAACTATATAGTTCCCAAGGAACTATATTTGCCTAAAATATTATCAGCTAATTAAATGTTACTCTGTATATTAATATTTCATGAAATAAAAACACTTTCAGATAATTATGTTGCAAAAATCTAAATTAAATGACAGTAATTTTTCGTACAACTAAAACAAAAACAACTTCTAACTTGTAATTGACGGTAGAATGAATAATGAATTTCTAACTTTTTAATCAGTCTTCCAAATAGATGGTCTAGCTAGTATTTCAGCAATAAAAGTCTCGGTGTTCATTTTTCGCGGCGAAAACAACTAAACTCGTTTGATCACTACACTATTCGCCGCGACTGCCGCTCGACTTCGTGGCTCGCGCCGTACTGATTCATGTATTTGTTTTACTCGCCCGTCGCGCCGCTAGCCGCCCACGCGGTTCGCTTGGTACATTTCGCCGGTCGCCGTTGCGCGTGGCTTCATAAGTACATTACTATGCGTTTGTTTCAGTCGCTAGACGCTTCGCCGTTCGCACCGCGCGAATATTCGCATCGGCGAGTGTCCCGTGGCTAGGCTGTTAGACGGAGCAGCGTGTCCCCAGACGCCTGAAGCGTACATGATGACAGGCTTGAACATCGTGTTGTAGATCGTAATTTTGTTTTTTAAACTCATTTTGGATTTCCGGTTTATCAGAGGGTACTGACTAGCTATCCGACCCTCGATCTTTGTTTTAACGCACATAGTGTGCGGGTTCCAGTTGAGCCTACGGTCTATAAGAAAACCGAAGTACTTTAACCGCGCTTGCCAGTCAATCTCCCTTCCAGATTTCAATCTTCCCATGGTTATCGCGTGAGTCTTGTCCGGGTTCACTCGGATCTTCCATTCGAGGTACCAACGCTCGAGGTCGTCCAATGGACGACCCCGACCAATGGAAGACCAATGGAAGATGAGAGGAGAGCCGTGTCGTCGGCGTTCAAAAGAATGTCATACCCAACAACCTATTCTTACTGAGCATACAAAACCTTTGGCGACACGCGCTAGTCGCGCCACCTTGCGTCCGGGTGCCAATTTGCGGTGTTCGATTGGTTTTCATGGGTTACAGAAGATCGCGCTGTGCTGCGTCACCACACACGCTTTCAATTTAGCCTAGCCACAGCATAGGTAACCTATTCAATGTTACCTATGCTGTGGCCTAGCTTTATACTTGTATACTCGTATTATGCACATGTTATCTCTGTGTGCATTGGACTATTTACTATTTTCAAAAAAACTACACCTCACGATTTGATCTCTACAAGTAAACTACTGTGCTAGCGAAACATGTGATATTTTTCAAATAAAGTTTGTGGAGATCAAATCATGAGGTATAGTTTTAGTTTTTAGTAACGGTCCAATCAATCAGAAAAAAAATATTTACTTTTTGTTTACATAGGAGAAAGACGCGGAAGAGTCAAAGATCAGTCTCCGTCGACGTACAATAATTGTGAGTCGACACTTAAAAAACATCAGTGCGAGTAGTAACATGAGTCATTTACGATTACTGCTAATACATTTCGTACATGCCGTCACTCCAGTAGAAATTTTTTAGGTTATGTCAAATTGTCTAACTCAAGTGAAGTAATCTTTTAACATCAGGTCCGAATTCCTGAGACCTGAGAGTAAATGGTAACATTGAAATTTCAACGCAACCGCCATCTACACCCAAACCTACGAAAAGGAATAGATATACAGGTGTGTAATTAGGATTTTCTGGTTGACGGTTTCGCCAACAGATCACTCTACTGTGTTTAAAAAATCAACAGAGCTAGCTCTACACTGCACTGAGAGTAGTTCTCTCGAAAGAAATTTAGAGGGCGACTCGGAAATAAGTTTGGGAGATTTCCAGCAGAGGACACATTGAAAATGGAAATATAGAATATGGACAAAATTTGCGCAGTCCATACAAAACGAGTATTACAGCGCAATGTCCAATATTGCGTTCTCGAATATGGCGAAAGTTGTGAATTTACGTGTTGTGATAAGTGCTACCTTGTGACTTACTATGTTTGAAAATGGATAGTAAAGTTAATATTTATACAAAGAAAGTGTGATAATAGTGTAAATATACGTATTTGTTGTTAATTAAGTGAGAAAAACAAAAATGTCTACAGATAAAATAAAAGTTGCTGTTCGACTCCGTCCTTTTAACAGAAGAGGTAATTATTTTGAGATGAAATCGAAATTATATATTCTCAATTGTTAACTTTAACCTTGATGCATTGTCACGGTCTATTTTTCTTTGTAAGTTCTTGCCCTATGGCCATGTCGAACCATGAATCATTCTTATTGATATTGCGACATGAACAGGTATGATGTCAAATATTACTTTTCAACAACTAAATCAAATAAGTCGTCTGAGGTCAAGAGTTACTTCAAATAGTCCAGAATCTCATTAACCCCAATCAAGGCAGGTCTTACCTTAGATACAGTCTATGACAACAAAATCATTCATAGATTCATTTGAAAACAGTTATTATTTTTCGACTTATTACTTGAATAATATAATGGCAACAGATCTCCTAACTATTATATGAAAAAATTCCATTGTATGTTCTCATTGTGTGTTCTCAGAACAACCGATAATATAATGTCAGCAGACCTGTATATTTGAAGTTGAAGTGACCAATAACACATTAACCCATTATATACTCACAAGTTTCTATTTTCAGTAGTTTTTATTTATTTCATGGTATATTTACTGCGACTTGTGACAAAAATGTTTTAACAAGCAATAATTATTATTCATTAACAAATTCAAAACATCCTCATTCAATATTGTTATGTGGATTTGATATAAAAGTAATTTTTTTCAGAACGTGATTTGGGGACGCAGTGTGTTGTCGAAATCGAAAATCAACAAACAATTGTACACCAACCGACAACTTTGGATAAATTGGAAAGGTAAAGTTGAGATCAACATTAGAAACAGTTTACAGACATAGCAAAAATGTATTGTCAGTGCTATTAACGTTTCCTAGAACCAAGGATAATCCCTCTTCTAACCTACCTGTCTGTAAATGGGTTTCCAAATTTCGTCTACTTTTGGCTCTGGTGTGATTTTGACTTTTGTCAAAATCACAGCAGAGCCAATAAGAGAAACTCAATGTACTTAAAAAAAATCTTTATGACCAATCAGAATTCTTTCAAATTGTCAGATTTCTCATTTTTCTCTCTTGCCCGTTGGATGGTAACGATGAATTAATATTCAAATTCGTTTACAATTACACAATAAAATTATAAGATACGTGCTTTAAATTTAATATGAATTAATTTCTGGAGAGAAAATACTTTTACGTTTGTTCATGCGAATATACTGTCATTCCTCACGCAGAGTAGGGGAAAGTGAAGTAAGAATAACTAGAGCGTTGGATTTCCGTAAATTTTTTCCATAATCGAAAGCTGGGTTTGGTAATGTACGGATCTAATGAAATTTAGTTATTTTCTTATGACTCAATTTATTGATACAACTGTTCATTACATTGACGGTTGAAAACCAAACCAAGATCTGATCAAAATAGAAATAACAATTAACGGACGAGATTTCTAAGATAACCCTAAATATTCCGTTGCGGAGTTTTTGGAATCCTACTGATATCGATTCAATAGAATTGAATATTTTAAAACTATATAGAAATTGGTTATTCTTTCGTGTGACTATTATACCTGGACTTTATTGTTTATCCTATTGGTACAGGTTATGGTTAGAATGTTATGGAAGCAAAATTTTTAGCAAAATTTACCTGCCTAGTACCCTTCAAAACACGAAAATTGTCAGTGAAATCTGTATAAAATTTCAAGTACAAGCGAACAAATTAAGATTGAAATTACTTTGAAATGTTATATTCAATCTTGAAATTGTATAAGTGAATAGGTATGACACCCGTCAACTTTTCTGAAACTCGGGAAAAGCTAGTTTTTGATAATTAGAAGTTTAATGGTTGCCAAACTCAAAAATATTCCGGTTTTGAGCTACAGCTCACTCTACACTCACACTTGTAAAACATTACGATCAGCCTATATTTGGTTCATTATAGAACCTACTATGAGTCACGAAATCGATAATTTAACCTCAGATTCGTAATTGGTGCTCTCAAAATACCCCAGATACAAGTTTTTCAGGAATATTGAAAAAATGACCCCTTTTTGGGATACTTTTGGTCCATGTTGGAAAATCCATGACCTATTACGGGTCACGATATCAATAATTTCTTATGCAGCAACTTCAGAAACCTCAGTGAATTATTATTCGTGACAAAACCCAGGTATCGGTTTTCTCCAAAAAGATAAATGTCTCCAAACCGAATATAATAATAATTATAATAATGATATCGTTTATTATGCATAAAAAATACATTTATACATAAAAGAAAAAGGGTTAGCCAAAGGCTATCTTCCACCCTTTATAAAAATACTTCTTTACTATCATAACAATGATAGTAAGATAGATCATATAGTTGCTAATAACTCGTTAATATTCTTAACATTATTTTGATCAATTCAACAATTTCATTGCACTACCATACATTGAATTTTAAATTTATTACATTAGCGCTGAGCAGTAAGCATCTGTGATGTTATTTTTTTCTTAAATTGATGAATATTATGATTTAAAAGGGGTAAAATTTCATTCAGATGAGAAGGGGCTATATAAGAAAAACATCCTTGAAATTTGGAAGTACGGTGCCTAGGTATGTTAAATGAGTTAATTCTCAAATTAGCCATATGTATGTCAGAATGCCTGCTTAGTAAACTATATAAATAACTAGGTGTTTCAGTTTGAAGAACTTAAAAAAACATTTTTATCAAATATTGGACTCTGTACCTCACATTCAGTTCCTTTATTTTTAACAAAAATGATGTGACTTGTTCACCATATGATATACAGCATACGAATCGCATGCAAGCATTTTGTATACGTTATAACTTTTGCTTGTTATATTGTTGCAAAAAATTGTAATACACCGAACAACAATACTCGATATGGGGGTAACTAGAGTTTTAACTAACCTAAGTTTCATTTCTTCTGATAACTGATACTTGAATTTGTATAGAGATTTGCGTTTGAAGAATGATACTTTGAAAATGTTTGTCACATGTTCATGGAAAGACAAAGAGCTATCTATCTATGGTTACGCCAAGATTTTTAGCACTGTCTACCCAGTCAATGTCTGCGTTATCGAGAGTGAGCCTAAAGTTACACTGAGTTTCTACTATTTGTCTTTGAGACCCTATGCATAATGCCAAAGTTTTATTTGGATTGATTTTCAGTCCACGATTCACAGAGTATAGGAATGTTTTGTGCAAATCTGTGTTTATATTGGCCACGCAACACTCTGTATCGGTGTTATGAGAAGACAAATATAACTGTATATCATCTGCGAATAGATGTACTTGACAATGTGATAAGAAAGTGGGGTAATAAAAAATAAACACTGAAAACATTAATGGTCCTATAATACTTCCCTGCAGTACACCTGAGATTGTTTCTTTTAGGGATGACTATGAGTAATCATCCAGTTTGACCCTCTGTGATCGGCCTATAAGATAGCTGGTCATCTATTTAAGAGAAATGTCATCGAATCCTATGAACTTGAGCTTGTTGATGAGTTAATCGAAAGCTTCACTTTGATCAAGCAGTACTAAAATGGTGACTTTTGATTGATCTCTGAATCTCGCAAGATCGTCGATTACTTTCAAGAGAGCAGCCTGTGTTCCGTGTGTTTTGCGGAACCCAGACTGGTCGTACGGGAGTATTCGATTTTCTTCAAGAAAAGCTCTTACTTGACGGGAAACATTTTTCTAGAATATTTTAGAGAATGAGGGCAGAATGCTGATAGGGCGTAGGTCACTGAACGTGGTAGGTGCATTCTTTTTCGGAATTGAAATTATATTAGCAACCTTCCAAACATATGGAAAAATACCCTGTCCGAAGGACTCGTTTAACTTCATCAATACAGTGTGGTATCACTAAAGAAATCATCTTGATATTCATGTTGTCAATACCTGAAGCATTAGATTTTATTTCTTTGATAGCAGTCAAAATATCATCATCACATATATCGGTGAGGGAAAAGTTCATAGGAGCGTTCAATTTATTATTATTGTAGAATGAAAGAGTGTTATTATTTACTATTGAATGTCCAGCCACGTTTAAAAAATAGTCATCGATTTCTTCAGGTCTACGTAGTTCAATTGGCAGCCTATTGGTTTGCGAGGATGATTTTGTATTAACACCCCAATTTGGAATTAATATCATGCATAGTCACAATACCACAATAGCAGCATCTTGAGAAAAAAGTTCATGATTGAAATTCTTGAAATTTCTATAAAAAATCAAGTTATCATAAGTATCTTCACCTTCGAAATCAATATCGCAAAATACCATCAGGTGATCAGATATACCATTCATATCAAGTGTATTAGAATGTCTTACCATTTCTTCCTTACTAATGCAAATGATATCAATCAGAGATTGAGAAGTTGTTGTTATCCGAGTAGAATTTTTCACAATTTGATTCATATCGAAACTAGAAACTAGGGCAGTGAATAGTTTAACAAATTAATATTAATATTACCAACTAACACCACAGCAGATGTTTCCAAATACACTCGTTCCAGTAAATCACCTAACTCCTGCATGAAGTCCTCTACATTTGTTCCTGGTGGTCGATAAACAACTCCACAGGCTACTTTTTGTTTGTTTATATCGACTATAATCCAAAGCCTGTTGGAATTGCAAAGGCTGTTTCTCGAGAGCTTGGAACACTGTTTCGAATCAGAAAACTGTACACACATCAGTAACTTTTGATACTTTCATAATCTGAAACATCTGGAACATAGATACTTTCACGGGAGGTGTTAAAGGCCTTGGCACATTAGATTCCATGCGGTACATATCAGAAATACGCGACGGACTGTGGCTGCTCATCGTTTTGAGGTTCAATTCGGTACAACTCAGATTTCACTGTTTAAAAACTCTTTCATTTGGAGAACTGCGTTTATATAGAATAAACTTCCTGAGAACTAATGAATATCAACTTTCGCACAGGCACCGCTCTTAGGGCGCCTTAAGGATATTCCTGTAGTGCTTGTGTTTTGTTCTTGAAAAAAAAGTTTTATAGCAACAAATCGATTTATATTGGGCATTGCACTTATTAAAATTTTGTCATCAAAAACTAACTTTTCCCGAGTTTAAGATAATTTGACGGGTCCAAAAACTTATATATTGTGTGCGTGGTCCTTTACTTCACAGCAACATTTCAATTCGAAAGCCAATCAAAACTAATCATGAATATATTTGCTCAATCTCATACTAATTCAATAACTTGTAAGCAGAATCAACTTGATATTTTCCATTTGTACAATATTTCAATTGAATATCAAAATAGTGATTTTCTGAATCAACATCCCGCTGATTAACAAGCTGCTGATGTGAGTTCCAACAGTTTGCGTGGGAAACAAATTCCGCTGATAAGTATGAAATTAGAGAGTCATCTCTGTTTGATAATTACTATAAATTTAATGCTTTATTCAGAAAAAAAGTCGGGTAATGCAGGAGAAAAACGTTTAGAAAATCGATTATTTATTACGATTATCGTTTCCGATATAACTAAAGGATATTCACAATCAATTTTGGTGAATTAAATAATTTATAGATATCTTACAAATGAACCGTATGAGGAAAGTTAAGAATAGCGTTTAAAATTGTGACTAAGTTGCATCGCTAAAACGGTGTTTCACTGAAAAATTAATACCTAACGCAGATATTCTCATATGTTACAAATAGTTTCTGGTGGTACTTTCAATGTAAATATGGTACAAGAAGTCCCTGAAAAACATTATCAAAATTTTGTCACTACCGTGAATGAATGATTGTGAATGAACAAAGAAAAGGGAAATACCTGTAAATAGTGCAAATTTGGAATACAAATAAAAGTTCAGAAAAAGTTCGGAAATCATTCAAACTTCATTCAGTGAACCGAATATCATTAGGAATTATGGATAAATATAATTTGCACAGCACCTTTCAACGTGTGTTTCGGCAGCAAGTCATTTAATAAGTCTATTTGTTACAGTTCATCTCAATTTATTATAATGATTGCCAAATCAGAATAAAATTTAAACTTTCACGATCATTTCACAGCTTCTGGCCGTCTAATCCATTGTACTATCTTCATTTCAGAGAAATGATACTGAAATTTTTTTCCTCTCGTTTTTTCACGATTTTTATGTCTCGTTTATCTTCGAAATCGATTTAAAAGTATCAACAAGTGCACTTGTTGAGTTAGAATTAACTGGAAAGATTCCACGATATTATTCTTGTGGGGTGGGTAATACATACAGCTATTCCCCATGTATTCCTCTTAAATCAAATTAGCACTGTTGCATTTCATGGCGGATGACAATGGAAAGTATGAAATAATACGCCATACGTTATAGTTCAATAGAATTTATTGGCAAGTTTGCAAGAGATGTTTCAATTAACAGTAGTAAAAACTTGGGAGCTTGCTTGAAATGTTTCATAAAAATACCGCGAATGAATGAGGATGGTGAGTTACGAAAAAGTAATATTCTACTTTGGAAATCAAAAAAATAACAACGGATGCTCAATCATATTGATAAAACCATTGGCAAAATGTGTATATTCTATATGTATGACATTTATTATCAAATATGTATTTGAATATTATCGAAGAATTTGTTCCTCTAATATATAGTAAAACGTGAACTCGGAGTGATCGGATGCAAAACATAGTGATGATATTTTTACTTCAATACTATTAATACATAACATCGATGACCACCATTTTAAGTTTTTGGTGAGTTGCATCACTTCAGCACACCTTCAGTAGAGAACCCCACACAAAAGACCCTATACCGGTCAGAGGCAAGATGGTATGAAGAGACTGAAACTGGCCGATTGTTATGTAAGAACCGCAATACCAACGTCCTGGTTTTTTCATGAACTTTTTCCAGGAGTATCTAGCCAAACAACACATCGACAGCTATGTTATCATTTGAATGACCATATATCCATATCACAACCATGTAATGGTGTGCAAAAGCCTTGGCCAACCAATATGAAGGGTCCACTGGAAAAACGATGAGGTTATATGTTCTGTCGGAATTGAGGTTTCAGTGACACCTATTGACCAGTGATATAAAGTATCAACACGAACGATTCAGGTTCCTTTGAAAATCATGTTTGAAAATACGTTGCACAACTGTAGAATGATAAGAGTCCTACACGTCCTACGAAAAATGAGGCTCTTCTCTCCAATCTTTCGGGAGATCCCTACCGTTCACTATATTCTGTGATTTTCACAATATTGTTTTCATCAGCTCCAAGTTTAATTTGGTGTTTTTTTATGAAACGAATTGAATACTTTTCTGCATGTAGAAAGAAGACGTAGAGTTTATATCTAACGTTCAGTTTATCTCAAGATCTGTTGAATGAAACCTCATCCATTTTTCACTGGGTCCTTGAAACCGAAACAATTGGCTCAAGTACATACAAAGGTTTATATGAAATGGTTGACTTCAAATTACGACCAACATATACAAGTGAAACCCCTTCAACAGCTGCTTTCCGAATCGAAGGACGGAATTCCAGCCTTGCGGTTCGGAGCGAGGTAAGGAGACTGATCGACAGGAACACAAGATATCCAATGTGTGATGGATGACAGGTCGGCTAATAGACCATTTGCACGGCGATCAGCCATTGAACAAAGAAGTGCGTATCACATTTTGAGTCAAGCTAACTACCAAGTCGGACTGTCTTGGTGTCTATAGCCGGGGTCACTGGCGAACCGTACTTCTAAAGACGTACAACCGTGTAAACGTATACCCGTTTTGCACTACGGCTACAAGCAACGCTTGTAGCCGGGTATACGTTTACACGGTTGTACGTCTTTAGAAGTACGGGGTGGACCAAAGTGAGTGAATCTATTCTGCCACTACATAATAACAAGCAATGGACAAAAACAGATGAAAAAATAGACTCTGCAAAGTTGTCAGGCTACTCAGAACTCCGGGTTGAAAGAGTTGTTCTGATCACAGTATTCAGTGATGGAATGATGTCTTTCATACTCTAGAATTCCCTTAATGATACAGAATTACCGAATAACAGTGTAAATCTTGACAGAACAAATGAGAAAGCTAAAATTATTTGTCAGTGCAGCTGCTCAGGGAACACGAACACACATCGTAGATACAACCATATACATAAACAAACCACTCCGTATGCAGAAGTTGAGAGCGGACAACCAGGTGGTTTTTGATTGGTAAATATGACGACCAAACGTGAACCGATTAGTAGAGGTTTGTCTATTCGAAACTTTTTCAAAACTATTATTGGATATCGATCACGTGAATACTACGACTGAGTATGACTAAATGTATAATAATTTTTTTGGCAAAATCGGCATGGTTAACAAATAATTTTCGGTATTCCCGCTCCTCATCAAAACATTTGACAAAAAACTTTATTATTTTTCATTCCCGCTCAGGTCCTGAACTACCTACTGAGTTCATGGAATAAGGAATAGTTTTGTAATACTTATGAAATAACCATACAACCATGGTCGCAAGGTGTCGCTGCTTATCTCAAGGAAAACAAAGAAATATCAAAACGGTATCTTGTATTGAAAATATCTTTGAAATATGGTGTACATTTCAACAGAACAACATAACTACGTGGTAGAAGGTCATAACGAATAAAAGAGAATTAAAACTTTTTATGTTTTTTTACCACTTTTATTTTATACGGTGAATTAGAAGAAATATTTCAAGAAACAATATAATTTTTTTCAGTATATCTTGAATTTTCCAGTTATTCAACTTTGCATTTCTCGGTTTTTTTTGCTTAACTCCCCCCGAGTTTAATATGTCTATAAGTTGTATTGGACTTGTAGCACAAACTTCTATCCGATCGGGTTTGGAAGGTCGATGTGGTGAATCACTCATTCACTAATAAACACCTCAACTCATAACAACAATTTGTCTGTTCCAGGAAACAACCTAAAACATTTGCATTCGACCATTGTTTTTGCTCCGTGGACCCAAATAGAAAGGACTTCGCTTCTCAAGACGTCGTCTTTGACTGTTTGGGACGTGATATCCTCGATAATGCATTTCAAGGATATAATGCTTGTATTTTTGCATACGGACAGACCGGTAAGAATATTGATTATTATCCGAATTTTATTACTATGATTATATTGAAATTTCGTAAATCTGCATGAAGTTGCTTTGAAGTATACTTCTTTCAATAAATTGATGGATGTAGCCGTTAGTAGGAGATCATGATGAAAAGAGAAATGAAAATTGCTATGTTTTTTTTACCACTTTTATTTGTAACTATTACTGCAGTTTCGTCCTATTTTTCATTTTCAAACTTAACATTTTCAAAATTAAACAATATTGTTTAAGTTTGAAAATGTCCATATAGGACGAAACTGCAGTAACGTTAGTTACAAATAAAAGTGGTAAAAAAACATAGAAATTTTCATTTCTCTTTTCATCAAGTATACTTCTTATTGACTTTCTCCATACATTTAAAAAAAAAACTCGGGGAAGTGTAAAGTATTATCTGAGATACACCGAATTGACTTTTAGCTTGATATTTTAGAACACGCCAGACAGCACTTAAATATTCATTTTGGTATTTGGGCTTATCGGTATTTCAAACGATATGTCATCAAATTCTGGGTGAAGTCACTATCTCTACAAATTTTCATTAGTTGCCGTGTCTGTTCTAGAGAAAAGTTAAAGTGTCTACGAAATTTTCACTTGTAAGCATTATTTAAAATCCAAAATTCTATTCACTGAATACCCTGCCCATTTGTTTGCAAATAGTCATAATTTCCTTGATCCCTGTCAAATACCTATCTGCGGATTTTAGCAGTATGGTATTTTTTAGAGATATACCACCCAGCGGGTACAGGTGAGGCATCGAAAGACTACACATGCGTCATTGATTTCTGCATCCGACACAGGTCGACAAACAGATGAAAATTTGTTACTATTTCGAAAAATTAACCTTTCGATGAAGAATTGTTTTTATTCATGAAATTCACCAAAAAGTATACCGATGTTACGATTCTAGACGAGTGTATTGAAATTCGTGAGCACGATAATTCGCCACCCGGATAATTTGAAGTTGAAACTGATTATTACAATATAAAATGTATACTCACTGTGAAATATGCTTTGCGGAGTTTATTGATTGTGAAAAAATCCATTTGTGTAGTAGGTATAAAAGAATTCAAACCCTAGAAAAATTATAATGAGAATATTAAACTGAAATATCGTTTAAACGATATTATGACGACATCAATTGGTCTCAAAATTTGAGAATTCGTCGACGACTCACGTTTGTAAAGCTATCTCCCTTAGATATAGCGAGTGCAAAGCAGCAAAATAAAAGCGTTGATTAGAAGCGGATGTTAATTGTACGTTTTTACTTGTAATATTTTATTGAGGATATATGTAACATTTCATTGTCCCAACTGTATGTTTGGTCAGTTCGGTATATCTCTGAAAACAGTATACTAAATAGTGTTTTCAGATATATAAATATTTCAAACTTCAATAGTAAAACTAGCAAGTTTATTTTCTTTCTTATTAGTCAGTGGGCTATGTTTGATTACTGGCAGTAAACAAATCTAAAGAAATGACCTTAAAATGTTCAAGCCAGTCTCGAATATACCTACACAGTAGGTTGAATGGACTGACGCCTATCAAAAAACAACTACTCCTCTGGCTAATACCACGAAGGGCGTTGGATTATATCCGACAGGCGTCAGTGCAGGAATCTTAACAGAACATTTCCTGCAAATGCAATTGGCAAACAACTGAAAGAGTCGACCTTCAATTTTGAAACGCGCACATTTGCAGACCGGTTTCGGGCTCATTAGGCACTCATCCAACGTCCTTTGTGGTATTAGCCAGGGGAGTAGTTGTTTTCTGATAGGCGTCAGTCCATTCAACCTACTGTGTAGGTTGTAGGTATATTCGAGACTCTCTTGAAGATTAAAAGTTCATTTCTGTAGATTTGTTTACTGCCAGTCTTCAAGCATAGCCCACTGACTAATTAGGAAGTTTTTCTTCCTTATTTGGGCACATTTCGGATATGCAGTTGGTTAGTACCTCGGCCACTAGATGGAGTGACATTTTGTTGTTCGCTCCAACTTAGGAAGAGGAATGAAATACTCTGAAAGAATTCCGATTTTCAATTATGGAATATCATTGACTTTAGGTCGATGATGACCACTATCTTACACTGATGAGTGGCTAATGAGCCCGAAACCGGTCTGCAAGTGTGCCCGTTCCATAATTGAAGGTCAACTCTTTCAGTTGTATTGCCAATTGCATATGCAGGAAATTTTCTGTGAAGATTCCTGCACTGACGCCTGTCGGATATAATCCAACGCCCTTCGTGGTATTAGTATTTGTTTTCTGATAGGCGTCAGTCCAGTCCAGTAGGTATATTCGAGACTGGCTTGAACGTTTAAAGTTCATTTCTTTAGATAAGTCTATTTTCGACAGGAATCAAAGGAAATTATTTTATAACCTCTAGCCAAAAGCCAAATTGGTATTCTGAAAATAATATAAACCTAAATGATAAAACCAACGAATAGCTACTCGGCAGGGATGAAAGTAATATCGTTAATTCTTAATGGACTGACAAAAGCCAATTGGGTATATCTCTGAAAATACACATTTCCGAATTATTTGATTTCTTTTGGTAAGTATTCATTTGCAGATGTCGCAACATTTACAATGATGCGCAAGGGTATGAACCCCTTATTCCATACATTCTTCTGACAGAAATTTGGAGTTTAACTGATGATACTTTTACAAATTAAGTTAGGACAAATTATTTTGCACCAAACTATAGATCTATTTTCTTCAGTTTGTGTTTTCTTAGTAACTGTAAAAGTTAATATGGTTATTATTCGATTTCTCAACCGTTCACTACTGATCTTAAATCAAGAATAGCGCTGTTTTTTAGAACATACATTGCCTCAATAATGCCTATTCTTTTGTTGTCAATAGAATATGTAGCTTCTTCTTCAAAAAAGTTTCGAGTAGCACTAGAGAAATTCATGGGAATGCATCGCCAATTAGAAATTCGAATGCTATTCTTTGGACGTAATTGATTTCATCACGATAATTATAAATGATTACTTTCACGAACACATTTGGTGATTCTGATAAATGATTTTATACTTAATTCATGTCTGAAACGCAGATTGACCAAAATCACATAACCCATATATGATAATGTAATTGTGTTCCACTAATCCTAAGAATAACCGAAGTGCAACCAACCTTTTTGTTGGATGTTAGACAGGTCCTAATAAAACCTACAGAGATCTTAAAATATATGTGCAGTGCATTCTCCAGAAATTGTGGCAGTGACTTCGTGATAAATACTGTTCTAGTCCAGTCATTTAAGGTTTTATCTGCGGAAAAATTCCCACTGAGCTGAATTTTGGTATACACCTTCATTATGGCGTTTTAATGAAGATGTGAAAAATCGACATCGATATCGTGCCGGCTAAAAAATTTATAAGGGTCAAAATGTCACGAGAATCAGTTTTTCGGGAATATCTCGCGACCTATGGCTCGGAGGTCAATGAAGGTCATTATAAAAATTATTCCTCATACGATTATCTACAAAAAATGTCTCTTGCATTTTTCTGTAAAGTCAACCGTTTTTGGACTAGAGCGCTGAGAAAGCGACTACATTATGATGATGCACTCGTTTCCGCACCACCTTTGAGGTAGAATGCAAGGCGCGTTTTTTTCACATGGTTTTCCCCGTAGGCATAATCCATTAACTGCAATAAAAGGTTTTTTTTATTTCATGCTCAATAATTTTTTATTTGTGTATGTATATAATTTTCTTTTATATTCATTCGTCGTCGATATCCTCAATTTCAACTTCATCAAGAGATGTTGACAAAACATCGAGTGGACTTATTGCTGTATTTAAATCAACATCTCCATCATTTTCTTCACTAGTGAACTCTGCGTTTAAGCATGACTTACCACGACAATGTCCACAAGCTTTAGAACATCTCAATCCAATTTTTTTACATCCACATTTGCCGCCACAACCTTTTGTACAATTACAAAAGATTGTGTTTAGTAGGTCATCGGGTGCTGGTGGCAATAAAGTTGTTATTGGTTGTAATATATTATTTTTCAACTCCCAACCCCACTGTTCTGGATCAATTTCTTTTCCTAGCCAGGTTTATATTTGATACCATGTTTTTTACCATAAAAGTGGCAAAAAACATGGAAATTTTCATTTCTCTTTTCATTATCATCTCCTACCACGTAGTAACGGCTACATCCATCAATTTATTCAACTATTTTGTTGCTGATAGTCAAGGTGTATTTAAGTTTACTCTTGGTGAGCAACGAATTAAGAACATCTTAAATTTCAGGAAAAACCTGTTTCAAGATAGCAAGATCAGAATAAAAAAATATTTGAAATTTTTTCGCTATATCTAAGGTTTGCTACCTTTATATCACGATAGCATTATTTCCGATTTCTAGGGATCCGCACGAGCAACAAAATCGTTGTTTTGGCAACTAATTAGCAACTATTTAGCTACAAATTGATGCTTTTTTTTTGCAATTTTGCTGGATTCGCCATGCTTGTCTGATAGGACTCGAAAATGGTATATGCGGGAGCAATTCGAGGCCCATTTAATGCAATTTTGCCATCGTTTTTATTGATTTGTAAAACTGTGCATTGTCTTCATGAAGCAGCACTTTCTTTTTCTTCAAATGAGTCTTTTTCCCGCAATTTCGGTCTTCAAGCGCTCCAATAATGCCAATAATAATCACTGTTGATGGCGTTTCCTTTCACAAGATAGTCGATGAATATTACACCACGCACATCCCAAAATACCGAGGTCATAACCTTTCTCCAGCCGATTATTGTGTTTTCTAGCGCTTTGGATGAGGTTCACCAGTTTCTCTCTATCTAGATGAGGATCTTTTTGATTCCATTGTCATATCGACGATGTTGTGGATTTTTTTTATGTTTTCTGGTATTACTGCCTCATTTGGACGTCCACTGCGTTCTGCATCACCGATGTCTATACGATCACGTTCTGAAGGATGTGGAGCCCTCATAACACTTTTCAAGCCATCGC